GTTTTATTAAAAGAACTGAAACTATATATGCAAATGTTTGTACACTATTCATTTTCATCATAGTCTTAGGGTTTAAAACTACAGTTCGCTATTAAGAAAATATTGGATTTTCTGGACACATTCATTTTTACTCTACAAGGAAAAGACACATAGGGAGTAACAACATTATTTGGATTTACAAAGGATTTACACTCTACTAGTTTTTACAAAATACCAAACTATGTTTCGTATACTTTGTAAACTGATTTCACCACTCAGGTCTTAGGGTTTTAAGACCACAACACCTTTCTATATAGAAAATATAGGATTTTCTGGAGATAAACTATTTTCAAATATAAACAAAGGATAATAAAGGACATGTATGCAATTATACATGGTTTTAGAACAAGACTCACAAACTACTTTTTATAGAAAATATTGGATTTTCTGGAGTTTTAAAACTTATTATAAACAACGATATTACAAATTTTTTACTACAAACATGCTTATGAACTCACCAACATTCTATGTTGACGCTTTTCAAAACGACTTGTCAGTGAACAGGTACTCGAGCCTTGGATCTGGATTATTTTACTACCTTTTGAGAAAATCCTACTTCATGTTACTTTCGTGTAATTGATAAACAAGTACAATTTGTAAAACAATGAATGTTGGTATATTGTAATGTATGATGTTTGCTTGCTATGTTTCATTCATATTTAATTGTTATGATACTGTATATGAATTCATCCGCCCCCAGACGTTTCCTCCGTTCTGGTTTGGGGGTGTGACAAGTTGCCAGTGGTAGAGTTTATTGTAGGAATCCTGGATGAATTTTTAGTTAAATTGTACCCCTGAGCGTATGAGAGTATGTATGATGCCTAAGATTTTCTTCCAGATTGACCATTGATATGCTCGTGAGTGCGGTGGGATGGTAATGATTGGTAGGAAGTCAATTGTGTACCTGAGAACTTTTAGGCGGTTTCAAATGGATGATCATCAACCACTATACTGTCCCTAGAAATTTTAGGTTGATGGATCCCCTATCCGGTGAGGTATAATTTATTTTAGTCACATCTTCGAGATTTTCCCGGTTTAAGTAGTTCATTATGAGTGGGGTCGTACAGTTGGGAGAGAAAGGGATGGATGTTACAGTTGAATGTTTTCAAGTGATTGGATTGTTGCTGAGATTAGTTAGGTTTTGCATTGTCTCTTGAGTTTTCAATTTGGATGTCTTAATGTTATGAAGCGATGGGAGGGACCATGTGAAATAGTATTAGTACAGTTTTCAGGAATTCTAAGCAAGTCGGGTTTCAAGGACGAAATCTAGTTTAAGTGGGGGACGAAATCTAGCTGAATGTTGATCGTGTTTCTAATGGGCTATGCAGGGCGTAACTGCTGCTGACCAAAACCCTAATCCTAAGGTTTTGGGACCTATTTAAGGGCTCTATCTTCTTGGAACCCTTCCCATTACCAGCCTCCATCACCTTAAATCGTTCCTTTATAACCCTAGCCACCAATTGTGAGTTTTTGGAAGCATAAGTGTCATTTTTGGGTGCATTCTTGAAGAAGGAGTCCATTGGAGAAGCAAGTGTGAGCTCCCAGTTTGGTAGATCCAGACTTTACAATTCATCACCTATCTCTAGAAGGTATAAAGCTTGCATCTTGATATTCCTTTTGTAGGATCTAACAAATTTATGGGTTTTATGCTTTTTGTCCCATAATCTTGGTCCTTGTGAGTATGGGTTACTCCAGACCATTTAAATGCCTCCTTCTGATTTTTTTGAGGATATAGAGTCATAAAAATGAGAGTTTGGACACTCCCATCTATCTATGTATGAGTTCTTGAGAAATCGATAACTTTATGGACCTAGGTATTGGTTTTGTGCTCTTTGTAACCATGCAAATGGATAAAGTCGGAGACTTTATCCATTAAGATGTTCATCTAGATCGGATCTCGGAGTTTGGGGGTTTGGCTTGCTATATTAAGAGCTTAATAAAAACTTTTGGTATCAGGGGCATTACGCAGGGCGTAATCTAGTTACGCAGGGAGTAGATTAGTTACGCAAGGCGTAAGTCAACTAAGGGTTGACTGTTGACTTTTGGCTGGTTTAGCTTTTGGACTTAGTATTGGAAGGGAAAAATGATTTTTTGCCCAAATGAGGTTTAATTATGAGCCTAGAACTTTCGTGGGCTAGTCATTTCCTTGATTGTTAATTAGGGTTTTATTGTGGATATTTTTAGCAAGAGGAGGCTTGATATCGTCGGCTCGAGTGGGTGGTTTATCTTGTCTTTAGGATTAAGGTGAGTTTCCTCACTGTACTTGTGGGTCAAAGGCACCAATGTCATCCCTCTAGGTTGTGTAATGTATCCTTATATATAGGATGTTGTTATGTTGTAGTGATATGTTAGATTGGTAGATCTGCATGATTACATGTGCTTGTTTGTTATTGTTTATTGTTTGTATATGTCGACATTTTGTGGTTGGGTTGAGGCGGTCATGTTTTGTGCTGAAGGCCAAGATACCCGGGAGGTCCATTTGATACTGTAGGCCCAAGGGAGTAGTCTATCTTTTGTTGTAGGCTCGGGAGTGGTCCAGCTTACTGCTAAAGGCTCGAGTGGCGGTCCAGCCTTGTGTTGAAGGCTTGTGTGTATGCATTGTATTTGTGTTATGGTAGTTTGGGGGAACTCACTAAGCTTCATGGTTACCCAATTGTTTATAATTGTTTTTTCAGGTACCATTCGTGATTGTGAGAAGGCGAACGCGTAATCATATTTATCCTACTGTTGATATATGTTTTGAGAGATTCTTGATACTCTTATTTTATGAATTTATTTTTGAAAACAATGGTTATTTATATTATGGTTTGTGGAAATGGTTTACAAAAATGAAAATTTTTTATCATGATTTTTGGAATGTTACAAAAGTCATGCCAAACAAAATGCATCGACTTTGCTATTTATTCATGTCTAATATAAAACAAAATACGGTGACTCGGTGAATAAAGAATTATGTTATGACCTGCTTTTCACTTAATTTATATCATTGAATGAAAACGTATTATATGTGACCCAACGCATAAGTAGGAAACATACATAAAAATAAGCACGAACACTTACTCAATTTACGTCGAAATGTGAAGAAAATTGAATTTATAATGAAACATACATAAAAATGCAAGAATTTAAACGAAAAAAGCTCTAAATTTACATCGAAACGTTGACCACCTCGAATTTACACCGACACATACATAAAAATAAGCACATAATAAATTAGTTTTTTAAGTTAACGGTTTTAACAAAGTTCAAAGTCGAGGGGGTTAAAGTGACATTTTACAAAGTTAAGGACAGTAACTATATGTAAATTAGATTATATATACTATGGGGATAAATACGAAAGTTTATAAAATGGAGGGGTGAAAGTGACATTTTAGAAAGTTTAAAGTTGAGGGGGTAAAAACGACATTTTAAAAGTTCAAGGGGTGGAAAGTTACATTTTACAAAGTAGACGGGTAGAAAGTTTCGGGAGATAGGAAACCAAATTATATAGTACATGAGATAAACAGTAAAGTTTAGAAAATGAATGGGTACAAATGATTTTTTTTAAAATTCAAAGTTGAGGAGGTAAAAGTGACATTTTATGAAGTATAGGGATGAAAAATGTCATAATAGATAATATGACGAACCCAAATCCAAAACCATATATAAATTAGACGAGTTGACACGACTCGGTATGAAAATTAAGAGTAAGGTTACAATTGAGAATCTCACTCGAAAATAACTTGTTTATTTATAAGCAAGCTTTTAAATTTTCTAGATAAATCGAAAATGTCCACCGACTTTTGTTTTTAGTATATAGATTATTTGACCAACCCAAATCCAAAATCAAATATAAATTAGAAGAGTTGACACGACAAGATATTATGAAAATTAAGAGTAAGATTGTAGTTGAGAATTTCAATTCGAAAATAATCCATTATTTATAAGCAAACTTTTAAATTCTTTAGATAAATTGAACGGACTCAAATCCAAAACCACATATAAAAGAAAAATATTAGATTAAGTCGTTTTGTAATGTGTAAACGACTTCGCCTCCTAGGTCAAAAATTTAATTTCTTTCTCTCCCATACTTCACAGTCTCACTCGACCACTCTCACTTCCTTACGATCTCGGCCCTCTGCTTCCTAACTCATACTCTTTCTAGTTTTTTACCTTTTCTTTTTCTTTTCCGTTTCCTAAACTCCTGCTCTTCTAACATTTTTAGAGCTTCAACCCGACATAACACAACACATTTACAAGGTCCAAACCATACGTGCTAACTCATCACGAACTCGACACAAAAATAAAAGGGTTGACACGACACGATACAAAACTATAATTAAACGAGTTGGAGTTAGAGTTAACCTTTTTTCAACTTGTTTAATGTTTTGATGCGATACGATACGTTTGCTAGGTCTACTGTCATTTGAGCTTTGTAACAACCGGTCTTTGTAAATAGCTCATTTTATCGGTGGAAAGCATTTTTGAAGTGTACACGAAATTCTATTATGTCAAGCATGGAGTATTTCAAAATTGATAGCCGATATTTGAAAGTTGCAAGCCAAAAATTATAGTTTTTTATTTATATAGAAATATTCAACAAAACTAGTTTTTTTTTTAACTTTTAAAATATATAAAATTACATATAACATAAAAGCTAAAGTTAAAGAACTCTAAAAACTACTTGAAATTGTTTTCGGATTATAAATTTTTTTGTTTAAAATAAAAATTGTTCAAAACTATTGACAAACAATTTTTTTTTTAATTTAGAATTTTCTAAATTAAAAACTTCAAATGTAAAAAGCTCTCTAACATACCTTTAAAAGTTTGAAAAAAAAAACAGAAGAAGAAATCTAAAAGCTCTCTGAAGTTTTTTAAAAGTTTTAGAAAAAAAAGAAGAAGAAGAAATAACTCTTATTAAAAAAAATTATAAATTTATCAAGTAATTTTTTTATAAAAAGTATAAAAAAGAAAAAGTTAAAAGCTATATAGTAAAATCTGAATAACTACCGGACACATACAATTAACTTGCAACATGTGACTAGTTTTTTGTTGTTGCTAATGCTGCCATTTCAATCCTTTCCCATTTCCTCCTCCTGGTGTTTTCTTCTAACCGAGCTGTGAGTTCACGTATCTTGATCATCTCAACGCATGTCTTGTAGAGAATTGGGTCGAGTTCTTGAAGCAAGATCTTCACATTTTCTGTCAATTCTTGTACGTTTTTGCTCCAATGGCATGTAAGGTTCTTTTCTAACGCTTCAACTATATATGGGAAAACCATCTCTATATCTTCTGACACCACCTTCATCAACTGCTCGTTGTTCCAAACATATAGACCCCGTTCAGCTACCTGAAATGCCCCATTAAAAATTCAACTCTAAAAAACAACACAATCAAAATCGTTCGAAGGAATTGTTTTGTTACCTGTGAATTGTCACTGTTGATGCACTTTGCGATTTGTGACCACAATGGAAGAGCCACCTTCAAGTACTGCCGCCGATCCATATTCTCTACAATCTCCTCAATTTCTCCGATCAACAACACTTCCTTTTGACAATTCGTCACCGACCAATACCTCAAAATCTTTCCGATCACAACGCCGCCAAGCTCCGCCTCTTTCTGCACAAACTGCGACACACAATATGCCAATTGCCGATGATAACCCGTCATACTCTTAGGCTTATGCAACGGAATCAAAACCCTAGATAAAAAAACCTTGTGTTCGTCCTTCAATGGCACCATAAATCCATTGATTATACTTCCCCAAATCTCAAGAATCTCTCCGATCCCACTTTGCCGGTGATCTGATTCATAAATAAATTGCAACAAAATGTCGATCATTGCTTGTCGCATGAAGGATCTGTAGAATGTGAATTTGGAGTAAATCCGGTGGACAATGTTCTTCACGGCGTCACGCTCTCGAGGTTCGTCGGAGTTGAAGAGAGCAAGGAGGTTCAGAACAAAGTTCTGACCAATGAAATGTTCCTCTAGCGACAAACCTATATTCAAGTACTACAACAAATATAAGTATTCTATAATTAATTAATTATACATATTCTTTTAAATGTGTAAGTATACCAAAAAATTGTGTTTACTTTTTAGTTTAAAAAAAAAAAAAAAAAAAAGGCAATGTATACGTTGTCCATATTTGTGAAAAATATGAAAAATGTCGGTTTCTATTTTCCATAACCTTTTCTTTTTTTTTTAAATAATAATATTGTGTTGCATATTCTAGGAAAAAAGTTATGTTACTGCATACCGGGATTTAATATTCTGGATTTGTCACTGTGTTCTCCTCGAAGAGCTTTCACGTCTTTCTTAGTTATCAACCGGAGGAGAATATCATAAACGATTTGCAAGTGTGCCCAAGCGGCAGAAGGGGCGGCGATGACATCATCGTCTTCCCCTGAACATGTTCCCACATATGGTGGCGGGAGAGGGCGGAAGAGATTAGAAGCCACCATCTTCAACAAAATCTCTAGTGTTTCATTAGAAACCGGAGTTACTGATGTTTTGATGATCGATAAAAGTTGTGTAAGTTTGAGTCGTTTCAAAGCCAATTCTTGAGCATCCAAACAAGACCGGGTGCAATAAATGATTATTGTTGAAAGTTCATCGTTTCTAGAATCTAAAGATTGAATGATTTTATCATCGTTTTGACTCGTGCAACATTTTGAATCAAGATCGAAGAGGAATTGCAGGGTTGTTGATTGTTTGGGTGGTGGCATTAGGGTAGGTTTAAGGTTTTTTCTTTGAGCTCCCATGTTTTACATAAGTGGGTGTGTGTTTTTGGTTCTAAAACTGGAGTTGTGATGTTTTGAAAAATAAGATAGTGTTGTTTGTTGAATAAAACAAGACATGGCGATTAATACTAGGAACCAAGCATTGGAACCTCCGAAAAACTACTATAAAAGTATTAATTTAAGGGTTGTTTGAATTATATTAAGGAATTATAATCACAATCAGAATCATAGTTAGAGCTGGTCATATTATACGTTTAAAAATATATCCATATTTTGGATTTATGAGATCTTTGGATACGTGTTTTGTAATTATTGTGTGATAGTGATTCACGATAGTTAGATTATTTCCAACCGACAATATCATATTTTGCAATAAAATGGTATGCCATTTGCGATTAATAACAAAAAAGCCATTATAGTTCGGCTAATATACTGCCATATTTTTTTTGTTCTAAAAAAACTATTAATACTGTCAAAAAGTTATACCGCGACCACTATTACCTATTATTGTCGGTTTTGCAAGTACCAATAAAGATTAATATTATGATCTAATATAAGCAAAGAGGTGTGGACTGCACTATTATATATAACCTGGACACGACAAAAGTCAGGGGTCAAAATAATGAAAATATTATAAAATGGTCATTGGCATAGCGGTATTAGGAGTTGTCGTCAATCAGGGGTCAAAATAATGAAAATATTATAAAATGGTCATTGGCATAGCGGTATTAGGAGTTGTCGTCAATCAAGTTGACAGTATGAACTAAACCGAAGAAAATAATTACCATTCATTCATAATAGGACGCCAAATAGTTAAAGTTTTTTTAAGAAAATATTATATCTTTAATGAATTGAATTTATAATATCTAAATCTCCCGTTAAACAACCTGAAACCAAACAAAAATGATTATTTTGAATGGCTAATGCATCTCACAATTATATCATGTCATTTTCCGCTGCGATAGTTGATGTTTGGATAACAACTAGTGGGCTGGCCCGCGCTCTACATAATTTTTATTGTTTTTTTTGTCACCAAGAGTATTAATATACTACTTTTCTTTTAAACCTAACTTGTTATTTCGTAGGATAATTTCATCTTCTTTTTTTTGTGATCCTCACCTAGTATCTAAACCTCTTTCTTCCATATATTTATGGTACATATGAATTCCATATTCCAGTTAATCAAAACATTTTCCAAAAATTAACTTTAGATCATCACGAATAGTAGTTTTTCGTAACATAATGTTACTTTCTTGGCTAAAAAATGCATAAAAGTCACGATTATTAATTGAGCACTTAAAAGTAATCCCAAACACCCCTTTATTTTCTTCGGCTTAGTTCATATTGTCAACTTCGTTAATGGCAACTCCTAATACCGCTATGCATTTGACCATTTTATAATATTTTCATTATTTTAACCCCTGACTTTTGTCGTGTCCGGGTTATATATAATAGTGCAGTCCACACCTCCTTGCTTATATTAGATCATAATATTAATCTCTATTAGTACTTGCAAAACTGACAATAACAGGTAATAGTGGTCGCGATATAACTTTTTGATAGTATTATTGGTTTTTCAGAACAAAAAAATATGACAGTTAAATCTCTATTGGTACTTGCAAAACTGACAATAACAGGTAATAGCGGTCGCAATATAACTTTTTGACAGTATTAGTGGTTTTTTTAGAACAAAAAAATATGTCAGTTAAATCTTTATCGGTACTTGCAAACTGATAATAACAGGTAATAGTGGTCGCGATATAACTTTTTGACAGTATTAGTGGTTTTTTTAGAACAAAAAAATATGACAGTTAAATCTCTATTGGTACTTGCAAAACTGACAATAACAAGTAATAGTGGTCGCGATATAACTTTTTGACAGTATTAGTGGTTTTTTTAGAACAAAAAAAATATGCAGTTAAACCGAATATTGGCCAAAGTATAATGGCTTTTATTTTATTAATCGCAAATGGTATACCATTTTGCAACACAAAATGGTATACCATTGCGATTAATAACATAAAAGTCATTATACTTTGGCCAATATTCGGTTTAACTGCAAATTTTTTTTGTTCTAAAAAACCACTAATACTGTCAAAAAGTTATATCGCGACCACTATTAACTGTTATTGTCAGTTTTGCAAGTACCAATAAAGATTTAACTACCATATTTTTTTGTTCTAAAAAAACCACTAATACTGTCAAAAAGTTATATCGCGACCATTATTACCTGTTATTGTCAGTTTTGCAATTACCAATAAAGATTTAACTGTCATTTTTTTTGTTCTAAAAAAACCACTAATACTGTCAAAAAAGTTATATCGCGACCACTATTACCTGTTATTGTCAGTTTTGCAAGTATGAATAGATTTAACTGCCATATTTTTTTGTTCCAAAAAACCATTAATACTGTCAAAAAGTTATATCGCGACCACTATTACCTGTTATTGTCAGTTTTGCAAGTAGCAATAGAGATTAATATTATGATCTAATATAAGCAAGGAGGTGTGGACTGCACTATTATATATAACCCGGACACCACAAAAGCCAGGGGTCAAAATAATGAAAATATTATAAAACAGTCGTTGGCATAGGGGTATTAGGAGTTGTCATCAACCAAGTTGACAGTATGAACTAAACCGAAGAAAATAAATACCATTCATTCATAATAGCACGCCAAATAGTTAAAGATTTTTTTCATAAAATATTTGATCTTTAGTGAAATGAAATTATATAATATCCAAATCTCCCGCTACACAACCTGAAACCAAACAAAAATTATTATTTTGAATGGCCAATGCATCTCACATTTATATCATGTCATTTTCCGTTTCACAAGTTGATGTTTGGATAACAACTAGTGGGCTGGTCTGCGCTCCACATAATTTTTATTGTTTTTTTTTTTTTTTGTCACCAAGAGTATTAATATGCTACTTTTCTTCTAAACCTAACTTGTTATTTCATAGGATAATTCCATCTTCCTTTTTTTTTGTGATCCTCACCTAGTATCTAAACCTCTTTCTTCCATAAATTTATGGTACATATGAATGCCGTATTCCAGTTAATCTGTTAGGTCATATTTGTGGACTTACATAATCAAAACATTTTCCAAAAATTAACTTTAGATCATCACGAATAGTAGTTTATCATAACATAATGTTACTTGCTTGGCTAAAAAATGCATAAAAGTCACGATTATTAATTGATTGAAAACCATTTGTTCAAGTATAAACCATGATCATAAGGGTACATTATTAAACTTTAAATTCTTTTAAATGTTCTTTGGAATATTTCTGTAAATTTATTATTAGACAATGATTATTTCTTTAGTTTTGTAAAATGTAGGGGTAATTTCTGTAAGTTTGCTTTTGGTATGGATTATTTTGTAGTTTTGTGAAAAGCATGGAACATTTCTATAACTTTGTGAAACATAGGGACCATTTATGTAAATTTTCTGATATGCAGGGACTATATCTAGACTTTTATGAAACATAGGAACCATTTCTATAAAATTTTTATCAGGAAGGGACCATTTATGTTATTTTTTGAAACATAGGAACCATTCCTGTAAAAATAATCTGTAAATTAAAAAGGACCGTTTTAGTAATTTGTTTTCTATGTAAGGACCATTTCTGTAATTTTCTTTGAAATAAAGACATTTTGTAAGATAGAATGACCATATTTATACATAAATTTTTTGCCAGGGACTGTTAGAGTATATATCACAAATTTTGTAATTTGTTTTTTAAGTATAGACCATAGTTTTCTATTAAAAGAGGAACTATATTGCAAGTTTGAGGAACCATTTTTATAATTTTTTTTCCAGGGACTTGTTTAGGTATATATCCCAACAAAGGAGTTATAAGATATAACCAAGTATCCGAAATTACAATTATTTGTATACTATTATTGGTAATTTGGTATAAATAAAATTTTGTACCAATGATTTTTAAACGATACATATAATTCATGAAAGAGCAAATCTACATAAACGAGGGGTGTAAAAATCCAATTAACAGAAAACACAGGGGTTAAATGTAATTTATAATGAAGAAAGTGAAAACCAGTGGAGTGATTGAATGACAATTGAGAAGCAACGGCAATACCTAGCCGGCGTAGACGTGAACGCCGATGGCGATTAGGAAGATGGTGAGGACGGCGAAGTAGATAACGGCGTGAACAATAATGGAGGCGCCGCTGGTGTGCATGTTTCCGAACTCCACCACCTTGTTGTGACCTGGCAACTGGAACAAAAGTCCCGGCGTTAGAAGCACAAACAGCACCACCGCCACCAACACTGGTCCCCAGTCCGCCATTTCCGGTAAAAAAAAAGCTTGAGCTTGAAGATAAGGGGAACTTAATTATCAGATCTGCAGACTGGAGCAGGAAGCTTGAAGATCGATGGGCGTTTTCTACTTTTCTTGGGGTTCTTAAATTTGGGGTTGGGGGTTTTGGGAGTTCAGAGGGACATTAACGTGTGGGTTTGTGCAGATCCGTGGTGTTTTCACGTGCTCCTTCTCCTACGGGCTGTTCATGTAATTCTGATTGTGAATTTTCCTTTAATTATATTTTGTGATTTTTTGGTATGAAACTAATTTTTCCTTATAATCTATAAAGTTTTTTTTTTCCTTAAATTATTTGATCTTTTTTAAGAGGTTTATTGGTCATGGATATTTTTCTTTCGAGATAACTTTTATATTTTATTTTTAACTATTTTCACTAAATTCCTAAAATTTTGATTTATTTATAAAATTCATTACTTACAAAATACTTAGTAATTTATTCAAGAATGAGGTTTCATGCGGTTATCAAATTTGACCCGACAGAAGGCCCGACTCAATAGCAGGACAAGTTGAGCGATGACCCACAACTTTCGATCTCTCTTTCTAGGACCCATTTTCTAATTAACCGTGTTTTAATATTATAGGTTTGTTTGATATGTTTTTTTTTTTTTCGAAAGAGAGGTTTGTTGATATGTTTGGAACTTGAAACTTTTGAATCCGTAGAATGTTAATTAATAATCATTGGTAAAAATTAATCTAAGCAATATTGGACTTAATGGATTAAGTCCTTAGTGGATTAAGTCCTTGATGAACCCACAGAGGGACGCATCTTGCAGAGTTGGTTCCGCACGGACTGTTATCATTCCGGATCTTTGTCGGG